GATAACTCCATCCATAAGACGGCGTTTCGGACACGATACGGATCCTACGAGTACCTCGTCATGCCGTTCGGACTCACCAACGCACCCGCTACATTCCATGCTGAAATGAATCATATTCTCATGCCTCTACTCGACGAATGCGTGGTGGTGTATCTGGACGACATCCTGATCTACTCGAGGGACATGAAGCAGCACATCGAACACCTACGACGTGTCTTCGAGATACTTCGACGGGAGAAGTTCTACGTCAAGCTATCCAAGAGCGAGTTTGCTCTGACAAAAATTGGGTTCCTTGGACACATGGTGAGCGCTCAAGGAGTACATGTCGACCCGAAGAAGATCGAAGCCGTACGAACATGGAAGACGCCAAAAAATGTGAAGGAACTTCAACAACTCCTTGGCTTCGCAAACTATTACAATCGGTTTGTGCCACAGTATGCGAAGATTGCAACACCTTTCACCAATCAAGTGGGAGGGTATGCATCACCAAGCCATGGAGCAGTTGAAGACCGCATTTACGACCGCACCCATCCTGATCCTACCAGATCCAGAAAAAGAATGCGTCATCGAAGCTGACGCTAGCGACCAAGCAGTTGGAGCAGTCTTGATGCAAGACCAAGGGAAAGGGTTACAACCAATCGCTTACCTCAGCAAAAAATTGCACGGGGCAGAACTCAACTACTCGATTCATAACAAAGAGGCCTTAGCGATCATCAATGCATTCAAGACATGGCGATGCTACCTCGAAGGGAGAAAGACCACAGTCTACACTGACCATTGCAGCCTGAAGTACCTAAAGACGCAACCGACCCTCTCCAGGCGACAAGTCAGGTGGTTTGACTTCCTCGAGACGCAATTCGATTACGACATCGTGTACAAGGCGGGACACGAGAATACGGCAGACGCACTGAGCCGGCCTGGACACGTTACTGCCATACAGATTGAGGGGATGAATCCGCTACTCAAGGGACTCTTCACGCACGGGTATATTATCGACCCTGAGATTCCCTTGGCAGAGAAGAAGAAATTGTTGCAGTGGGACCACGATATTGCACTATGCAAAGGATCAACAAAGATATGGGTACCCAACTACCCGCCTCTTCGGCAATTGCTTCTCGAAGAATTCCATGACGTGCTCTACACTGGACACTTTGGGAGTAATAAGACTCTTGCTGGGATTGTGAGAGTTTACTACTGGCCTCACATGGCAGATGACGTGCAAAAGTTTGTCACTTCGTGCGACATGTGCCAGCGGATGAAGAGCAGTAAGCAGAAGAAAGCAAGACTTCTTTAGCCTCTACCCGTCCCGGAACAACCTTGGCAAGTGGTCAGCTTGGATTTCATCACCGGGTTACCACCTACCAACGCGGGGCATGACGCCATCCTGGTCGTCATCGAGAAATTCTCAGAGATGGGACACTTCATTCCAACGCATACAGCCGCACGCACTGAGGAAACGGCACAGCTATTAATCAAAGACATCATCTCACAGCACAGGATCCCAACAACCCTTATATCCGACAAGGACCCCAAGTTTACTAGCAAGTTCTGGAAAGAGCTCATGTCGCTCATGGGGACATGCCTAGTAATGTCATCTGCATATCAAGAGTTGTAATCCTCAAGCGCTTGAACCAGATTGTGGAACAACTCTTGCGCGCAGCATGCAAGGATGACATTAGCAAGTGGGACTTGCACTTGCCGATGTTGGAGTTTGCCTACAATAATGCGAAGCATACCGCAACAAGAGAGACCCCATTCTTCCTCTGTTACGGTCGACATTTGGTAACTCCACAGTAGCCAACAGTACCTGCAACCGTCCAGCCCGCGCATGACTTCGTTACCACAATGCAGCAGCTTTGGGATCAGACACACAAGCGTCTACATGACATGCAGTCTTCACCAAAACGCTTGGCCGATCGCCATTGACGTGATCATACCATTGCGGTTGGTGACCATGTTCTTGACACATGCAACCTCAACCTTGGTCACCTTCCATCCAAGTTGCGACCTCGCTTTTGCGGACCTTTCCTCGTAGAAGAGCAGGTCATTCAAGTTACATTCCCCTTGCGCCTACCAGCTACTTGGAAGATTCATAACGCCTTCCACGTGCACCTTCTTAAACCCTATCCGGATCCAAATAAGCTATATACGGGACGCCAACCTCCGCCGCCACCTCCAGTCCTCGTGAATGATGAACCTGAGTACGAGGTTGAATCTGTGCTTGCACATTGTCATCGTCGGCACGGCGCCTTGGAGTTTCTCATACGCTGGAAGGGCTATGATCCTTCTGAGGACAGCTGGGTCTCTGTACAAGACATGAGTAACGTCCGACGTTCTCTCCGCGACTATCTTGTCAAGCAGGGTGTTACATCTACCATCCAGCTTTGAGGGGGGGAAGTGTGAGAATACGCCGACGTTCAACATATTTCTCATTTCTATATTTTTACTCTATCGTATTCTCCTTATTTTCCTCTTTCATTTGCACTTTATTTCACCTCAATCGGACTACTATTCTATTTTCTAGGGCTTTTCAATTATTTCACTGATTTGGTAAGTTTGGCACCGACATTTACATTATACGGCACCGACATCACCGACGGTGGTGTACAAGGCGTAATCTCGCCATAATCCGAAGTGCTAATGGGCTTGCGTGCTTATGCGCACTAGTGATTATCTAGTCTAAAAGAGCGTGTTCCCGAAGGTTCGGATTATCTGCTGTTTCTATGTATTTTTAGTATAAATACGCCTTGTACTCACCTTTAGTGCAACATTCTCGAGTGGGAATTCGATCCTGTGACAGACACTTTGCTGCCGCCGTTCTACATCCTCGTGTACGTCGACGACTTGGTCTTTGCCACTGCTGACACTGAGGGGCTGGCCCTAGTGAAGTCGGAGCTGCAGAAGAGACACACATGCACAGACCTAGATGAGCTGCGCAACTATCTTGGCTTGCAGATCACCTGGGACAGAGCACAGCGCACCGTTACTCTGACTCAGTTACACATGGTGCAACAGGTCCTTCAGCGCTTCGACTTCCAGTACTCCTCGCCACAGTCCACTCCTCTGCCTACCGGTCACTCGCTCTCAGCTCCACCTTCGAACGAGTCCGTATAGCCGAGTGGCCCGTATTTAGAGCTGGTGGGCTGCCTCATGTACCTGATGACCTGCACTTGACCTGACATTGCCTACCCTCTTAGCATCCTGGCTCGCTACGTTGCGCCCGGGAGACTCGGACCAGAGCACTGGAAGGTCGCTAAGAGGGTGTTGCGCTACTTGTGCAGTACGTCGGGCATGGGGCTCGTGCTTGGAGGATAGGGTCCAGTTGTCCTTACACGACACGCAGACGCTTCTTGGGTTGACGACTTGGCTACGCAGCGGTTCTCACAGTGTCACACTTTCAGCCTTGGCTCCGGCTCGGTTTCGTGGCGGTCTACCCGCTCATCTTTTGTTCTTAGTTCCAGTTGTGAGGCTGAGATCTACGCAGGAGCCATGGCTGCACAGAAGTTACGCTGGCTTACCTACCTGCTGACCGACTTGGGAGAGGCGTCTCTTCTCCTCCAGTTCTGTACGTCGACAACAAGGCCATGATTGCCTTGTGTCAAGAGCACAGACTAGAGCACAGGACGAAGCACATCGCTCTACGTTACTTCCTTGCTCGAGAGTTGCAGCAGCGTGGTCAGCTTCGTCTTGTGTACGTGGCCTCTCGGGCCAACACTGCTGATATCTTCACCTAGGCACTTCAGCCTTGTGATCATCAGCGTTTCTGTACTGTTTTAGGCCTTGTGCCTACTTGGTCTCACTTGCTCAGTTCTTGACTTTGCTTGGACTGTGATCTATATACTTATATCTGCATGCTTACACTTGCTAGGTTTTGATCACTGTACTGTTTGTTCTGTATTATAAACTCTGCATGTGAACTGACCTTGTGGTCATTTGCTTGTGCTCAGAATGTGTGGTGACTTCGTGATCCACCCTGAGTTTGCTTTGCTTTTCTTGACTGGTCTTGTGACCTCTTGTTCTCTCCATTTTGCCAATGAGGATGTGTCAAACTTATATGTTGTGTATTGTGTAGGCTGTAGTGGGGTAGCCCATATGGGGTACAACCGAATTTAGGGTTAGTACTTGTACCCACCCTACTGCTAGTTCAATCATTCTCGCTTTCACATTTTGACAGGTAAGCGTTGGCGCGAGCTGCGGGTAGGCGCGAGTGCGGCTGTAGACGCAACACGGACGTGAAAGGGGACGCGACGGGGCCACCAGGCAAGGCGCAAGGGCGGGGTGCGACGGGGCCGTGGCAGGCCGCTAGGGTGGGGCGCGACGAGCGACACTAGAGAGGGGTGCACTACAGTTAGCTAGGGGAGGCAGGGAAGAAGTTTACAAATCAGTAGAATGAGGGCATACGGTTGGGATATGTAGCCCATACCCTTGATAGCACAACCCAATCTAGCCTACAAAAACACATGCAAATGTACCGTATGTACTATGTGTACTTCGAGATTCTTTCCCGTGGTTTCCGTAACGTATAATTCTACACAGCACACACACCACAAACCCTACTAAGGCCATGCCCATAATTAGGTTTCTACAGTATCTGATATTTGTGTCTAAAGGCCATAAGTGCTTCCCTACCCACTTAAAGCTTAATGACAGCTTCAGTCAGTGGTTAACCCACCACTCATACTCCATCACAGCTGTTCACTCTACACTCTAGATCCACACCTAATCCAGTGCAAGCCTCTTCCTCATCTTGCTGCCTCCTTCTATTCATCTTGCTGCCTCCCTCCCTTTCCTGACTTTCCACTCTCAATCGTCCCTTGCACATCCCCTCGCTACCTTCTCACAGCCCCTCCCCTTGCAGCCCCTCACTTCAGCACCTCCCTTAGCACCCATTTGGCCCCAGCAGACTCTAATGCGCCCCAGCAAACACTAGAGCACTGCTCCAACCAGCCCCACTTGGTCGATCAGACGGCTCAAGCCTTGAGATTGAATCTTGATATGTCTCAAAACCTGCCCGCCCGAACAAGCCCAACCTCGTCTATCAGATTGCTGAGTCCCAGCGGGTGCAAGATCTCCTCTGTCCCAGCATTAGCCTTCACCCCTGCATCATTCATTTCTTCCAACACCCCCCGCACCTCACTCGCAAACTCCCCGCTTCCCGCCTCCACTCCTGCTCCAGCTCCCCTCCTCCTCCAGTCGTTCACAATGGCCGTGAGAATCGAGTTGAAGAGGTTTGAATCGGTGCGATACATTGTCCGTGCGAGCCCCACCAGCTCTCGCACCTTCCCCACCTCCCCCGCCTCCACAAACCCCCCCAGCACCTCCGCAAACGCGTGAAACGGCAGCTTCATCCGCGCCCTGTGCGCACCGGCCGCCACCGCATCGTGTAACGTAGTAACCGCATTGTCGATCTGGTTGGCGGAGAGGTAGCCGCGGAGGAGGTGCAGGAAGGTGATGCCGTCGGGGCGCATGCCGGCTGCGTCCATGTGGAGAATGGTGTCTTTGGCCTTGGGGAAGCGGTGGTTGTGTGCGTAGGCGAATACGAGAGAATTGAAGGTCTCGGTCACTGGGGCCTGCTGCACCTTCAGCTCTTGAAACGCCTGCAGGGAAGAGGGGGGATGGGGCAGGGGAAGGCGATGGGAGTATCGTTTGAGTTGGGTGAGAAAAGGTAAGAGAGTTGGCGTTGGGGAAGAGGTGGTTGTGGGTGTGGGCGAAGATGAGGGAGTTGAAGGCCTCGGTCACTAGAGCTCTTGAAACGCCTGCATGGGAGGGTGGGGGAGGAGGAAGGAGAGGGTGGGGACGGGGCAGGGAGAGGCGGTGGGATGGGATGTGAGCATGGCTTGCGTGGATCTTGGAGGGCAGAGAGCATTGAACATTGGCCTCGGCCCCTCAAGGGCCACCGCGGCCTCAAGGGTCACCGCGGCCTGCTGCACCCTCGGCTGCTGCGCCATCAGTCCTGACTTCATGTGCACACACCCCTTCCTTCCCCCCAATCCCCCTCACCTGCACCCTTGATGCCCGCATGAGCACACAGACCCTACTACGCAATCAGAGATGTACGCACACAGACCCTCCCCCTAACCCACACCCCCCTCCCTCTAACCCACCCCACCTCCCCCTAATCCACCCCCCCCTCCCCCTAACCCACGCCCCTTCCCCCTAACCCACCCCCCTTCCCCCTCACCTGCTCCGCCTTGCCAACATCACCCGCCAGCCCATAGCCCTCTGTGACTACATGCACAGACAGAGCCTCAATGACATACAGAGATGCACGCACACGACCACACTTCCCCCCTCCCTTCCCCTCACCTGCTCTGCCTTGCCCACATCACCCGCCAGCCCATAGCCCTCTGTGACTACATGCACAGACAGAGCCTCAATGACATACAGAGATGCACGCACACGACCACACTTCCCCCCTCCCTTCCCCTCACCTGCTCTGCCTTGCCCACATCACCCGCCAGCCCATAGCCCTCTGTGACTACATGCACAGACAGAGCCTCAATGACATACAGAGATGCACGCACACGACCACACTTCCCCCCTCCCTTCCCCTCACCTGCTCTGCCTTGCCCACATCACCCGCCAGCCCATAGCCCTCTGTGACTACATGCACAGACAGAGCCTCAATGACATACAGAGATGCACGCACACGACCACACTTCCCCCCTCCCTTCCCCTCACCTGCTCTGCCTTGCCCACATCACCCGCCAGCCCATAGCCCTCTGTGACTACATGCACAGACAGAGCCTCAATGACATACAGAGATGCACGCACACGACCGCACTTCCCCCCTCCCTTCCCCTCACCTGCTCTGCCTTGCCCACATCACCCGCCAGCCCATAGCCCTCTGTGACTACATGCACAGACAGAGCCTCAATGACATACAGAGATGCACGCACACGACCGCACTTCCCCCCTCCCTTCCCCTCACCTGCTCTGCCTTGCCCACATCACCCGCCAGCCCATAGCCCTCTGTGACTACATGCACAGACAGAGCCTCAATGACATACAGAGATGCACGCACACGACCACACTTCCCCCCTCCCTTCCCCTCACCTGCTCTGCCTTGCCCACATCACCCGCCAGCCCATAGCCCTCTGTGACTACATGCACAGACAGAGCCTCAATGACATACAGAGATGCACGCACACGACCGCACTTCCCCCCTCCCTTCCCCTCACCTGCTCTGCCTTGCCAACATCACCCGCCAGCCCATAGCCCTCTGTGACTACATGCACAGACAGAGCCTCAATGACATACAGAGATGCACGCACACGACCGCACTTCCCCCCTCCCTTCCCCTCACCTGCTCTGCCTTGCCAACATCACCCGCCAGCCCATAGCCCTCTGTGACTACATGCACAGACAGAGCCTCAATGACATACAGAGATGCACGCACACGACCACACTTCCCCCCTCCCTTCCCCTCACCTGCTCTGCCTTGCCAACATCACCCGCCAGCCCATAGCCCTCTATGCGCGCCTTGTGCAGCATCCTGCAGGGCAGGGGGTGGGAGGAGCGGATGGGAGGAGCGGATGGGAGGGGCGGATGGGAGGGGCGGATGGGAAGGGAGAAGAGAGAAAAGAGACAGGACGTGTGAATGGAGGAGCGAAGTCCAAAGCCCTCTATGCACGCCTTGTTTAGCATCCTGCAGGGCAGGGCATGGGAGAGAGCAGCAGACGGGAGACGGGAGAAGGGAAAATGGGATGATGGAAGCTCACAGACCTCATGACTGATTTCAACCATGCGTTTTTCCACCCGTAATTACTCATTACCATTGCACCCATACCTCGTTACTATCACACATATAGCCCATCGCCATCACATCACACCCATACCTCGCCACTACCACACCCCTACAGCATCACCATCACCATCACACCCATACCTTGCCATCGGCACATTTGATGCAAGCAGCTCACTCCAAGTCACCTCCAGCTTCTCGACCTGCCCGCTCTGACATACGCCTTCAGCGTGACGGCACACCGTACCCATCACGCCATCACCATCACATCACACCCATACCCCATCACCACACATGCATACCTTGTCATCGGCACATTTGATGCAAGCAGCTCACTCCAAGTCGCCTCCAGCTTATCCACCTGCCCGCTCTGCCCATACGCCTTCAGCATAGCAGCATACGTGCCTCTGTCAGGGCCCGCTCCCGACGTCTTTAATCTTCTCTCCCACTCTAGTGCCTTCTCTGGCTCCCCATGGGAGACATAAGCTGAGATCAGCGCGTTCATTGTTGCCAGATCCGGGGTCAGATTGTAATTTTCCATCTGCCCGAGGTAGTACTCCATTTCTTTGAGCTGCCCGGCCCTGCCGAGTCCCGCCAGGATGATGTTGAATGTGATTGTAATGGGGGTGAAGCCCTGCGGGCAAATGCGGGAGAGAGTCAGAGGGAAGATGAGCGTAAGAAAGTAAGAGAGGAAGAGAGCAAGAGAGCAAGAGAGCAAGAGAGCAAGAGAGCAAGAGGAAGAGAGGAAGAGAGGAAGAGAGGAAGAGAGGAAGAGAGGAAGAGAGGAAGAGAGGAAGAGAGGAAGAGGTCGAGAGGAAGAGAGGAAGAGAGGAAGAGAGGAAGAGGAAGAGAGGAAGAGAAAGAGAGGAAGAGAGGAAGAGAGGAAGAGAGGAAGAGAGGAAGAGAGGAAGAGAGGATGAGAGGAAGAGAGGATGAGAGGAAGAGAGGAAGAGAGGAAGAGGAAGAGGAAGAGAGGAAGAGAGGAAGAGAGGAAGAGAGGAAGAGAGGAAGAGAGGAAGAGAGGAAGAGAGGAAGAGAGGAAGAGAGGAAGAGAGGAAGAGAGGAAGAGAGGAAGAGAGGAAGAGAGGAAGAGGAAGAGAGGAAGAGAGGAAGAGAGGAAGAGAGGAAGAGGAAGAGAGGAAGAGAAAGAGAGAAAGAGAGGAAGAGAGGAAGAGAGGAAGAGAGGAAGAGAGGAAGAGGAAGAGAGGAAGAGAGGAAGAGAGGAAGAGGAAGAGAGGAAGAGAAAGAGAGGAAGAGAGGAAGAGAGGAAGAGAGGAAGAGAGGAAGAGAGGAAGAGAGGAAGAGAGGAAGAGAGGAAGAGAGGAAGAGAGGAAGAGAGGAAGAGAGGAAGAGAGGAAGAGAGGAAGAGGGAGGCGGAGGAGATGCACGCGAGAAAGCACGGTGTGTGCATGGCATGGTTGCAATGATTCAGTTTTGAGACAGCATGTGATCAATGCACACATTGTCTCAGAATGCATGGTGTGTGAATGACATGGTTGCATTGTCCCCCCACGTTTCCCCTGCCCCACCTTGCTCCTCGTCTAAACCATAATCGTTGCAATGCCCGCCACCACACCCGCCCCCCTACTGCCCGCCCCTCTACCCCAAACCACCCCCCCGCCTCTTTCCCAAAATCTTCCCCAACGTGCTTTCCCTCCATTGCCCCACCTTGCTCCGCATTTCATCCATGATCGCTGCAATGCCCGCCACCATGCCGGATCGCCGCCTGCCTGCCAGCAGCGCCTGCAGGCGCGCGTTGAACGACGGGATGCCCTCTGCCACGCCCTGCTGCCTCAGCCAGTCCACCTGCGAGGGCGTGAGGGGAGAGACGGGGAGAAGGAAAGGAGAGCACACATAGAGGATGGGTGAAAACGAAAGAAACGTTATTTACTCGTTGAACGACGGGATGCCGTCCTGCACGCCGTGCTGCCTCAGCCAGTCCACCTGGGAGGGGGAGACGGGGAGGAGGGAGGAGACATGTAGAGCAGAGACGTCAGTTGATGTTGGAAAGAGGAAGGGGCCTCAGAGACATCTCAGCATGCAGCCGCGCGTTGAACGAGGGGACGCCCTCGGGCCCTCCGTGCTGCTGTAGCCAGTCCACCTGCAGGGGCAGGAGAGAGGGGGAGAAGGCGAGGTGCGCACACACACAGAATGGGTGAAGGGGGTCATAGTAATTCGCACGTTGAACGACGGGATGCCCTCTGCCACACCCTGCTGCCGCTGCCAGTCCACCTGCAGGGGCAGGAGAGAAGGAGCGATGGGAAGAAGGCGAACAGAGCACATGTAGAGGATGGGTGAAGGGGAAGACATTAGATTTACGGGTTGAAGGAGGGGATGGCCTTTGCCACGCCACGTCCTGCTGGCACGGCCACTCCACCTAGGAAGGAGCGACGGAGAGGAGGGAGGGATGATGTAGAGCAGGGAACAGAAGCAAGAGTGAGGGTGGGAAAGGTGGCGTAGAAGCAAGGAGGCTTAGGCGGCTTAGGGCAGAGGACAGCAGTGGAAGGACGGAGAGGTAGAAGAGGTGGAAGAAGCATGGCACACACCTTAGCAGGCACACACCTTAGCAGGCAGGCAGACCAGACCCGAGGACAACGCCCATGCCTTCACAGCAACCATTTCCTGAACCACATTTTTATTTAACAAGAGGCGCTATTTGGGGCGTGGCGTACTTGGGGCAGGCGTTATCCGGTCCGGGCAGATGAAATCTTACCTGCGATTCGACTGACATGAACCTCCCCCGCCTTGCCACGTGGCCAAACACTGGCTGGTACACCTGCAGACCACGGACAGGGCAGGGTGCGGCGAGAGGGGCGGAAGAGGGTTGGGCAGAGAAGGGGGGGAGAAGAGGGTTGGGCAGAAAGGGGGGAGAAAAGGGTTGGGGGAGAAGGAGGTTGGGCAGAGGGAGGGAGGGGGGATCTACGGTCGAGAAAAGGGAAGGAGGCAACATCCAGGACGCAAAAAAACAGTCCGCATTGGGCCCACCTCCTCTCCACAACTCATCTCCTCTGATCTGAACGTCTGAGGGAGGGACAGGTGACTCAATTCAGCACTACTCGTGCCCATGCCTAGCATGCGCCTCCTCTCTCCCCACCTCACCTTCTCCGTTCTGAACGGCTGTGGGAAGGCGAGGAAGAGCGCCTGAGCGGCCGCCACGTTGCGCGAGCGGATGACAGCAGAGAGCGCCAGCTGGTAGTCCGCCTCCAGGCGGGGGAAGCCCGGCTGCTGCACGAACCACTCCGCTACCTGCGGTGATTGGAAAGAGAGGGGGTGGGAAAGGGGAAAAAGCGGGATGGGGTGGGATAGATGAGGAATTCATGGAACTTCACAGCAGAGAGCGCGAGCTGGTAGTAGTCGGCCTCTAGACGGTGGAAGCCGGGCTGCTGCACAAACCCCTCTGCTACCTGCGGTGATGGGAGGGGAAGGGGAGCAGTGAGGGTCAAGGGGATGGGAATGACAGCAGAGAGCGCCAGCTGGTAGTCCGCCTCTAGGCGGGGGAAGCCCGCCTGCTGCACGAACCACTCCGCTACCTGGAGTTATCAGAGAGAAACGACGGGGAGAGAAAGGGGGAGTGGGAGGGGAGGGAGAGTTGACAAGCAAATCAGAAGGAGGGGGAGCGGAAGGGAGTTAACGTAAAGGCACTGCCAACTGGTAATCCTCCTTGAGCCTAGTTTCGAGGTGCCTCAAAACGTTAAGGGACTGTCAGCTGGTACTGCGCCTTGAGCCGCGGAAGCTGGGCTGCTGCACTGCACGAACCGTTCTGCTACCTGCAGGGATTTGAAAGGGAGGGGGGGCGGGGAAAGAAGGGGAACGAGTGGAAGGGCAGGGGAAACTTCGCACCGCATAAATGCACGCATATAACTGCAAGCGGCTATGCATGTCAGATGCCAGAGGTGCAAAAGCCCAATCATGCGAACCAGAAAGATGCAAAACCCTAGACCCTGACCCTCCAACGCCCTTACCCATACAGAACCCTGACACTGCATGCAACTCAACACCCCTGGGCCCCGGGAACTCCCACCACACACACCTCGGCTGCCTGCTTGGGCGGGCAGTGGTTCTTGGGCTTATGTGATGCCACATGGACAGAACTCCAGACACATAAACCAGAACGCTGGAAAACCCCACCCAAACAGAACCCAAAACCCTGGCCCTGCAATAACAACACCCTCAGCCACCCCCACCAGACGCACCTCTGCAGCTTGCTGGGGCGACGGCTTTTGAGATTACAAAAAGTCGAAACCTGAAACCCTGACCCTGCAACACTTCCCATCCCACGTCACCCCACCCACCCACGCCCACCCCCAGCACACGCTCCTCTGCAGCTTGCTTGGGGCAGCGGCTTTTGAGGCGCCTCGAAAGTCGGAACCCGAAACCCTGACCCTGCAACAACCCCCCCCACCCTCTCCCTCCCCTTCTCCACAGCACACGCACCTCTGCAGCTTGCATGGGGTGGCGGATTTTGAGGCGCCTCAACAGTGGGAGTGCTAAAGAATAAACCCTGACCCCGCAACAGCAACATCCCCAGCCACCACCACCAGACGCACCTCTGCAGCTTGCTTGGGCCGGCGGTGGTTCTTAAGCTTCTTGATCAGCTGCAAGGGAGGGTGTGCGGGTGAGAGAGTGTGAGAATGAGAGGGCGTGAGTGAGGGTGAGAGATGATCAGTCAGCCAAGAAGGGACAGGCAGGGGAGCGTGAGGAAGAACAGGGATGAGCAGGAAACACGGGGCCAAAGGCTCGTTTTTACAAGGGGGACAAGGGGACAAAGGGTCACTATACAAGCAGAACTCGTTTCTCCGCAGCTCAATACCATGCGGGCGCTGCCCATGACACTATTATTAGCACTTTTCATTAGCGATATCTTTGTAATCAGACGCATGTCAATGGTGTTATATACCTGTGTGGCCAGGCGCATGTCTACGGTGTTGCCGTTGCTCTCCCACGCCCTGACGACGGGCATGGCGTGGTTGCTGTCTGCCAGCTCCTTGATGTGCTGCCACAGCTGCTCCAGCGGGGCTGCAGGGACGTGATGGGGTGGGAGCAGGACGAAAGAGAATAGCCTGAGCTGTGTGAGACACCTAAGCAATGAGAGGGGCATGGCGTTGCTGCTGTCTGGAAGCTCCCTCACGTGCGACCGCAGCTGTTCCAGCGGCGCTGGAGGGGGGAGCAGGACGAACGGGGACGTTGATTTAGGTTGACTCAAACTGGGCGAGCAGGACTAAAGGGCGGCTTCAATCTTCTGGCATGCCTATGCAAAGGACGAGGTGCAGTTGCTGTAGCAGTTGCTCGTGGGCTGCCACGGCTGCCAGGGCTGCCACGGCTGCCACGGCTGCCACGGCTGCCAGGGCTGCCACGGCTGCCACGGCTGCCAGGGCTGCCAGGGCTGCCGTAAAACGGCTGGAGGAGGGAAGGAAAGAAGCGGCGGAAAGGGTGAGGGCTGAACGTGGGGAGGGTCATGAGCACGGCCCAGGTCATGAGCACGGCCCAGGCCATGAGCACGGCCCAGGTCATGAGCACGGCCCAAGCCCAGGGCTACCGTGACCCACGCCGGCCCGACTCACGAGTGTCCTGAATCACAACAGACAGAGCATATTGATTCGACCCTGACGGGGCCCACCCCAGCCCTGGACCGGTTCGCCGGGCTAGATCCGCCAGAACCTCCACAGCCTGGCGCTGCCGCAGTCAGCCTGCAGTCAGCCTACACCGGGCCAGCCCAATTTCCGGCCCGTGTCGGGCCGATATGTGACGCGCGCGATCTGAGAAGCAGACGTCACTTCTAGGTCGTAAAACTTCGGCCGGTGAAACTCATTCTGGCGTTCCCGCCACCCTCAAGTTACCTTCGCCCGTTCCGGTTGAACCCCTCCTGACCCCACCGAACCCCTCCCAATCTGAACAACCCCCTTCCTCCCTGACCATGGTGGTCAACATAAGGGCCATCATCCTTGACCAGGCCCGCCCGTCTTGGGCCAGGCCCAGCCCCCACCAGCAAGTAAGCCGGGCGTCACCAGGTACGCCCTCCCTTGGTTGGGCCGGGGCAGGCCGACCCTGGTTTTTGAGAATTCTCAAAAACCAGCTCGGGCCAGGGTGACTCTTGAGTCATGAAGTCACCATGTCGCCCCACGTAAACTGGGTTGGGCAGGCCAGCCCTGGTCCGGCCCATGCTCATGCCTGGGGAGGAAGAAGCGGAAGGGGACGGACAGGGGGGAGTTTGGGTTTTGGCTTTGTCCCCGAAACCCTTAAACTTGTCCCATGGCATGCCACGCCACATCCCATTTCAAGCTATCCCATCCCATCCCAAACCATCCTATCCCATCCCATCCCATCCAATGTCATGCCACATAACTCCTTTCACTCACTCTGAAACCCTGGCATTTCCGCATTTGCCCCCCCACCCCCGCCGCTGCTCCCCCCAGCCTCCACCGTTCCGCCCTCGCCCCCCTCCGCGGGAACCTGCGCGTCCCCTGTGCCCTCCGCCATTGCGGAAAACTCCTCCCCCGAACTGCCCTCCGCTGCTGCGGAGAGATTCCCCGCCTCCGCGACAACCTGCGCCGTCCCCTCGCCTTCCGCGCCCGTGTTATCCGCCAATGGAGTGTACCCGCTGCTTCCGCTGCTGCTGCTGCCGCCGCTGCTGTCGCTGCTACCGGTGCTGCTGCTGGCGGTACTGTCATTGCTGCTGCTGTCGCTTCTGATACTACCGTCACCTGCACTAATCGACGAGTAGATTCCGCCTGCGGCTAGTGAATGGAACGGACTCCTTAATCGGAGCGCGCTATAAGGCGTACACGACGACACGGACTCTCGACGAATCATGCTGTGACTATATCGAGCGCCAAGCTGAGAGGCGGCGAGTGGAGCAGCCTCGCGGGGCGAGGGAGCAGGTGACAGGGCGGGGAGGAGGACACTACGCGCGACGGCGGCGACTGAAGGCACATGGCTGGCGGCGACGGTAGCGGCGGCGGCAGCGGAGGTAGTGGGGGGGCGGATAGCGGCGGGGGATGGGGTGATCGGGTCAAAGATTGCGTCAGACGAAGCGACAGACGCGGCAGAAGCGGCGAGCGCGTTGGCTGGAGCGCGATCGACGGCGCTGGACGCGGCACGCGATGAGATCGACGAGATCGCCGAGGCGCCGCCGCGCTCGCGGTTGAGCGACGCCCGCAGATAGGCGAGCGAGCGACCCCTCATGCCTGCTGCTGTCGCTGATTCTGCGGGCTGGTGCTGCTGGTGCCGGCGGTGAGGATGGTGGGTGAAATGGCGAGAGGCAACGTGCGAATGCAAAAGGGATCTGGATGGCGCTGCGGGATGGAGGGTGGAGCGGATGGGTGGAAGTGTGCAGCCGAGAGAGCGCGCAACGGCGTCCACCGTCAGAGGGTGCGGGGAGGAAATCAGAAGTGAATTCGGGAATCTCCAGCAGGGGTTTTGGCTCGATCAGGTGCTGCAGAAAGCCGCCACAAGAGAATGAATGTCGCGTTACAGACTGTTTCGCTCATCGTATAACAAAATATTTTCCTTTCTATGTGCTGAGAGCAGATCCGATAGGCAAGCACAGATGGTAACACTTCTACAGATGATCCTGGATAGATATTTTCTGGAAAACCAGTCAGTTGCTAAAATATAAAGACAATCAGTTTGACGTATCAAATAAATAGCTCACCCACAAACATCACAAGTCAATACGTGATATATCGAACGGCTGATGATACGGCACCATGTTCAGCGCCAGTGTCCCCTGCCCTTCCACGTGCGACCCACGCGCATCACCCTCATGCCCATCATCAACATCATCCACCACCACCTCCACGCCATCCCCCATCGCACCGCCACCACCATCCCCCAACGCAACCTCATCCTCTCCATCACCCTTCTCCTTCCCCTCACCACCTCCCCCATTCAACCAACTCCCACCCTCACCCCCACCCTCCTCCACCATACACCCGTCCTCCAACCCCCCACTGGTATCAGAGCTCTCGGAATAACCACCATCAGCACCACCGCCGCCACCGCCATGACCATCCCCCAAGCCCTCCAAGATGGGCTCTAGCGGGCTGTCCTCGTCAGGCAGAGGCGCGTGCGGGGAGGTGAGGAAGCGCACGACGGAGGCCATGGGGGGCCGCTGGTGGGGGTTGTACTCGAGGCAGAGCAGGGCGATGCGCAGCACCCTCAGGAACTGCTCCTCATCGAAGCCAGATGCTAGTAGCGCCGGGTCGGCGAACGAATCCAGTGCTCCCTCTGAGAGACATGCCTCGGCCTGTGTGGAGATCACGGGTGTGGTAGAGAGTGGGAAATGTAGAGATGGTTGACATGGAAAGGGAGAAAAGAGTGCAGAGGTGAGCTGGCTGGCAGCAGAGGGGGGGCGCTGGCCGGGGTTGGACTCGAGGCAGAGCAGGGCGATGCGCAGCACCCGCAGAAACTGCTCCTCGTCAAAACCGCCTGTTAGTAGCGCCGGGTCGGCGAATGAATCCAGAGCTCCCTCTGAGAGACATGCCTCGGCCTGCTTGGGGAGAGGTGGAGGGTGGTGGAGGGTGGGTAATGCAGAGACGGTTGACAAAACATGAGAATGAAGGGGTGTGATGGCTGGAAACAGGGAGGGGCCTCTGGTCGGAGTTGTATTCATTGCACAGCAGGGCGATGCGCAGCACCCGCAGGAAGTGTTGGTCATCGAATCCTGGGGTCAGCAGTGCGGGGTTGGTGAATGAATCCAGGGCTCGGGCTCCCTCTCCCTCTCCCTCTCCCTCTCCCTCTCCCTCTCCCTCTCCCTCTCCCTCTCCCTCTCCCTCTCCCTCTCCCTCTCCCTCTCCCTCTCCCTCTCCCTCTCACACACATTCCTCTTTTGAGTAAGCTCCCTCTCACACACATTCCTCTTTTGAGTCGACTCAAAAGCAGTGCGGGGTTGGTGAATGAATCCAGGGCTCGGGCTCCCTCTCCCTCTCCCTCTCCCTCTCCCTCTCCCTCTCCCTCTCCCTCTCCCTCTCCCTCTCCCTCTCCCTCTCCCTCTCACACACATTCCTCTTTTGAGTAAGCTCCCTCTCACACACATTCCTCTTTTGAGTCGACTCAAAAGCAGTGCGGGGTTGGTGAATGAATCCAGGGCTCGGGCTCCCTCTCCCTCTCCCTCTCCCTCTCCCTCTCCCTCTCCCTCTCCCTCTCCCTCTCCCTCTCCCTCTCCCTCTCCCTCTCCCTCTCCCTCTCCCTCTCACACACATTCCTCTTTTGAGTAAGCTCCCTCTCACACACATTCCTCTCACACACATTCCTCTCACACACATTCCTCTCACACACATTCCTCTCACACACATTCCTCTCACACACATTCCTCTCACACACATTCCTCTCACACACATTCCTCTCACACACATTCCTCTCACACACATTCCTCTCACACACATTCCTCTCACACACATTCCTCTCACACACATTCCTCTCACACACATTCCTCTCACACACATTCCTCTGCTCTGCCTGCTCGGGGGGTGGTGGAGGGTGGTAGAGGTCCCACAGCAACTCAAATTTACTAACGTCGCACCCGTTCCAGCAGGTCAACCCAAGTCAGCCCAAGTCAATCGCAGTCAACAACGGTATACTTAGATTTCTCACCACCCCGGCATGTCACCTGTCAACTCTAAGTCAAAGTCAACCTGGGTCAACGCTGGTCTCACCCGTTCAAGAAGGTCCTCTGTGTTGTGGGGCGACTGGCCTGAGAGCAGCTCCAGCAGCACCACTCCGAAGCTGAACACGTCTGCTGCCACGCCCACCCGCTCACTGCCCACATACTCTGGGGCTACATAGCCCCACGTGCCCAGCACCTGAGGGGTTTGTTGGGTTTGTGTAGTGCAAAGGTCAGAGAAGCAGGGGGGGTTGGAGTGGCTGGCAGCATGGCATCATCGTCAAGTCTGCCCACTCCGCTCACTGCCCACATGCTCCGCGGCCACATAGCCCCCCGTGCCCAGCACCTGGGCCAGAGAGGGGGGATATGAGGGGTGGGGATGCGTCATCTATGCTATGTCTGCCCCTCAAATCCGCTCACTGCCCACACACTCCGGAGCCACGTAGCCCCCCCCCCCACGTGCCCATGTGCCAAGAGCTAAGAGGCGAGGCAGTGGCAGAATGAAGCGCTTTGGGTTGACTCACAAGCACACCACTCACGGATGTTTTTAGGACACTCACATGACCCACTCACTCACATGACTCACTCCCTAACATGACCCACTCACTCACATGACTCACTCACTCACATGACTCACTCCCTAACATGACCCACTCACTCACATGACTCACTCACTCACATGACTCACTCACTCACATGACCCACTCACTCACCCTCGTGCTCATGTCATCGATGCCTTGCGGCATGACCTTGGCCGGCCCTAAAACAAACGGCCATCTTACCGTCCCCAACAGCGTCCAGCAGGATGATAGGCTTCACGACTCAAGACTCAAGAGCCAATGGCAGAAGGGGAGGAGTGCGTTGAGGCAACTCACTTTTGAGTCGACTCAATGGCAGAAGGGGAGGAGTGCGTTGAGGCAACTCACTTTTGAGTCGACTCAATGGCAGAAGGGGAGGAGTGCGTTGAGGCAACTCACTTTTGAGTCGACTCAATGGCAGAAGGGGAGGAGTGCGTTGAGGCAACTCACTTTTGAGTCGACTCAATGGCAGAAGGGGAGGAGTGCGTTCAGGCAACTCACTTTTGAGTCGACTCAATGGCAGAAGGGGAGGAGTGCGTTGAGGCAACTCACTTTTGAGTCGACTCAATGGCAGAAGGGGAGGAGTGCGTTGAGGCAACTCACTTTTGAGTCGACTCAATGGCAGAAGGGGAGGAGTGCGTTGAGGCAACTCACTTTTGAGTCGACTCAATGGCAGAAGGGGAGGAGTGCGTTGAGGCAACTCACTTTTGAGTCGACTCAATGGCAGAAGGGGAGGAGTGCGTTGAGGCAACTCACTTTTGAGTCGACTCAATGGCAGAAGGGGAGGAGTGCGTTGAGGCAACTCACTTTTGAGTCGACTCAATGGCAGAAGGGGAGGAGTGCGTTGAGGCAACTCACTTTTGAGTCGACTCAATGGCAGAAGGGGAGGAGTGCGTTGAGGCAACTCACTTTTGAGTCGACTCAATGGCAGAAGGGGAGGAGTGCGTTGAGGCAACTCACTTTTGAGTCGACTCAATGGCAGAAGGGGAGGAGTGCGTTGAGGCAACTCACTTTTGAGTCGACTCAATGGCAGAAGGGGAGGAGTGCGTTGAGGCAACTCACTTTTGAGTCGACTCAATGGCAGAAGGGGAGGAGTGCGTTGAGGCAACTCACTTTTGAGTCGACTCAATGGCAGAAGGGGAGGAGTGCGTTGAGGCAACTCACTTTGGAGTCGACTCAATGGCAGAAGGGGAGGAGTGCGTTGAGGCAACTCACTTTTGAGTCGACTCAATGGCAGAAGGGGAGGAGTGCGTTGAGGCAACTCACTTTTGAGTCGACTCAATGGCAGAAGGGGAGGAGTGCGTTGAGGCAACTCACTTTTGAGTCGACTCAATGGCAGAAGGGGAGGAGTGCGTTGAGGCAACTCACTTTTGAGTCGACTCAATGGCAGAAGGGGAGGAGTGCGTTGAGGCAACTCACTTTTGAGTCGACTCAATGGCAGAAGGGGAGGAGTGCGTTGAGGCAACTCACTTTTGAGTCGACTCAATGGCAGAAGGGGATGAGTGCGTTGAGGCAACTCACTTTTGAGTCGACTCAATGGCAGAAGGGGAGGAGTGCGTTGAGGCAACTCTCTTTTGAGTCGACTCAATGGCAGAAGGGGAGGAGTGCGTTGAGGCAACTCACTTTTGAGTCGACTCAATGGCAGAAGGGGAGGAGTGCGTTGAGGCAACTCACTTTTGAGTCGACTCAATGGCAGAAGGGGAGGAGTGCGTTGAGGCAACTCACTTTTGAGTCCACTCAATGGCAGAAGGGGAGGAGTGCGTTGAGGCAACTCACTTTTGAGTCGACTCAATGGCAGAAGGGGAGGAGTGCGTTGAGGCAACTCACTTTTGAGTCGACTCAATGGCAGAAGGGGAGGAGTGCGTTGAGGCAACTCACTTTTGAGTCGACTCAATGGCAGAAGGGGAGGAGTGCGTTGAGGCAACTCTCTTTTGAGTCGACTCAATGGCAGAAGGGGAGGAGTGCGTTGAGGCAACTCACTTTTGAGTCGACTCGATGGCAGAAGGGGAGGAGTGCGTTGAGGCAACTCACTTTTGAGTCGACTCAATGGCAGAAGGGGAGGAGTGCGTTGAGGCAACTCACTTTTGAGTCGACTCAATGGCAGAAGGGGAGGAGTGCGTTGAGGCAACTCACTTTTGAGTCGACTCAATGGCAGAAGGGGAGGAGTGCGTTGAGGCAACTCACTTTTGAGTCGACTCAATGGCAGAAGGGGAGGAGTGCGTTGAGGCAACTCACTTTTGAGTCGACTCAATGGCAGAAGGGGAGGAGTGCGTTGAGGCAACTCTCTTTTGAGTCGACTCAATGGCAGAAGGGGAGGAGTGCGTTGAGGCAACTCACTTTTGAGTCGACTCAATGGCAGAAGGGGAGGAGTGCGTTGAGGCAACTCACTTTTGAGTCGACTCAATGGCAGAAGGGGAGGAGTGCGTTGAGGCAACTCACTTTTGAGTCGACTCAATGGCAGAAGGGGAGGAGTGCGTTGAGGCAACTCACTTTTGAGTCGACTCAATGGCAGAAGGGGAGGAGTGCGTTCAGGCAACTCACTTTTGAGTCGACTCAATGGCAGAAGGGGAGGAGTGCGTTGAGGCAACTCACTTTTGAGTCGACTCAATGGCAGAAGGGGAGGAGTGCGTTGAGGCAACTCACTTTTGAGTCGACTCAATGGCAGAAGGGGAGGAGTGCGTTGAGGCAACTCACTTTTGAGTCGACTCAATGGCAGAAGGGGAGGAGTGCGTTGAGGCAACTCACTTTTGAGTCGACTCAATGGCAGAAGGGGAGGAGTGCGTTGAGGCAACTCACTTTTGAGTCGACTCAATGGCAGAAGGGGAGGAGTGCGTTGAGGCAACTCACTTTTGAGTCGACTCAATGGCAGAAGGGGAGGAGTGCGTTGAGGCAACTCACTTTTGAGTCGACTCAATGGCAGAAGGGGAGGAGTGCGTTGAGGCAACTCACTTTTGAGTCGACTCAATGGCAGAAGGGGAGGAGTGCGTTGAGGCAACTCACTTTTGAGTCGACTCAATGGCAGAAGGGGAGGAGTGCGTTGAGGCAACTCACTTTTGAGTCGACTCAATGGCAGAAGGGGAGGAGTGCGTTGAGGCAACTCACTTTTGAGTCGACTCAATGGCAGAAGGGGAGGAGTGCGTTGAGGCAACTCACTTTTGAGTCGACTCAATGGCAGAAGGGGAGGAGTGCGTTCAGGCAACTCACTTTTGAGTCGACTCAATGGCAGAAGGGGAGGAGTGCGTTGAGGCAACTCACTTTTGAGTCGACTCAATGGCAGAAGGGGAGGAGTGCGTTGAGGCAACTCACTTTTGAGTCGACTCAATGGCAGAAGGGGAGGAGTGCGTTGAGGCAACTCACTTTTGAGTCGACTCAATGGCAGAAGGGGAGGAGTGCGTTGAGGCAACTCACTTTTGAGTCGACTCAATGGCAGAAGGGGAGGAGTGCGTTGAGGCAACTCACTTTTGAGTCGACTCAATGGCAGAAGGGGAGGAGTGCGTTGAGGCAACTCACTTTTGAGTCGACTCAATGGCAGAAGGGGAGGAGTGCGTTGAGGCAACTCTCTTTTGAGTCGACTCAATGGCAGAAGGGGAGGAGTGCGTTGAGGCAACTCACTTTTGAGTCGACTCAATGGCAGAAGGGGAGGAGTGCGTTGAGGCAACTCACTTTTGAGTCGACTCAATGGCAGAAGGGGAGGAGTGCGTTGAGGCAACTCACTTTTGAGTCGACTCAATGGCAGAAGGGGAGGAGTGCGTTGAGGCAACTCACTTTTGAGTCGACTCAATGGCAGAAGGGGAGGAGTGCGTTGAGGCAACTCACTTTTGAGTCGACTCAATGGCAGAAGGGGAGGAGTGCGTTGAGGCAACTCACTTTTGAGTCGACTCAATGGCAGAAGGGGAGGAGTGCGTTGAGGCAACTCACTTTTGAGTCGACTCAATGGCAGAAGGGGAGGAGTGCGTTGAGGCAACTCACTTTTGAGTCGACTCAATGGCAGAAGGGGAGGAGTGCGTTGAGGCAACTCACTTTTGAGTCGACTCAATGGCAGAAGGGGAGGAGTGCGTTGAGGCAACTCACTTTTGAGTCGACTCAATGGCAGAAGGGGAGGAGTGCGTTGAGGCAACTCACTTTTGAGTCGACTCAATGGCAGAAGGGGAGGAGTGCGTTGAGGCAACTCACTTTTGAGTCGACTCAATGGCAGAAGGGGAGGAGTGCGTTGAGGCAACTCTCTTTTGAGTCGACTCAATGGCAGAAGGGGAGGAGTGCGTTGAGGCAACTCACTTTTGAGTCGACTCAATGGCAGAAGGGGAGGAGTGCGTTGAGGCAACTCACTTTTGAGTCGACTCAATGGCAGAAGGGGAGGAGTGCGTTGAGGCAACTCTCTTTTGAGTCGACTCAATGGCAGAAGGGGAGGAGTGCGTTGAGGCAACTCACTTTTGAGTCGACTCAATGGCAGAAGGGGAGGAGTGCGTTGAGGCAACTCACTTTTGAGTCGACTCAATGGCAGAAGGGGAGGAGTGCGTTGAGGCAACTCACTTTTGAGTCGACTCAATGGCAGAAGGGGAGGAGTGCGTTGAGGCAACTCACTTTTGAGTCGACTCAATGGCAGAAGGGGAGGAGTGCGTTG